AGTGTTCAACTAAATGTTGTGGCTAAATGCAAGGTGATTGCTCATTTTCAATGAGGGAGTGCCTCAATGTTTTCATTTGTAACCTGATGTGAGGTGTTAACTGTCAGTTGTCAATATGTGTTAACAGTGTGTTCAGATACACTTTCTACAAAAGTACCAGGGAGATGCCAGAACTTACATTACAAAGAAATGTCATTCAAATGTCTGAATCCTCTGAGCTTTGCAATCTCTGTTTCATTCTTCTGTGCATGAACACTGTCTCTATCACTGGCTTTGGTAGTCTGCCACACTGCCAAAATCTTCCAGACTTTATTATGATTTTACTATATCCTTCTGTCCTTGTATTACAGCTTGTGTTGCTAGTTTCAGAATTCTTGGTTTCAAGGCATTTGGCTTCTAACTGTTTTGTTATTTGGTGTAGCCAAAGAATATATGAAAACAACTACTGGGGTAAGGACATGGTTCAATATGACACTACAGATGAGTAACAGAATATTCTGACTGTCAGTGAAAGCTTTAAATCACAGTGGTCCTTTAACAGGAGGTCATGAATCAGCACCCCAACAGTGTTTTAGAGTGTTTCTAATTAAGAATACTGTCTCTCATTAAAAAAGCTGCTAGAAAAGTGGTAAGTGTTGGGGAAACAGATTTTTTGTGGAGAGAGAACAGCTCCTGCTGGGTTCACAGAAGGAAGGAGGTAATCATTTCAAGCTTCTCTCCCATGGTTTCCACTTTTCAGTCTTACCATGAACTGTCCAGAATATGCCTAAATGATGGGTTTTGCCTGGTGCCGTGGGTTCTTTGTGATCAAGAGATGTCCATATGCTTTTGGGTTTAGTGTAGCTGAGAATTTGGTGTCTGTATTTAAAACAATTTGGAGAATTTTCATGTTTCTAAAAAGGGAACTAATTATATAGCTACAGCTATTTTAAACCTTTGCAAGCATATGCTTATTGGTTTGTGACAGTAATTATCGGATAGACAGTGTAACTCTTAACAGATTGTTTTAATGGCAGGCTTGTACATGAAATTCAGCTTTTAGTCAAATGCAGTTAATTATAGGAGGCTCCCCCAAAACCAAAGTTACTCGTATAAGTATAAAAAGGGAGGAAGGTTGTGGAGAAACAGACGTTCTGGTTGCGAACGAGGTCAGAGGAAAATTCTTACTCAACATTTTAATATCTTTCTTTTTTCCTTTGTTTTTTGAAGTCCTGGTTGTGCTTGGTTTTGAAAAGTGTAAACAGTTCAGTTACTCCCAGCTCCCTTCCCGTGTTACCAGCTGCCAGGATATTTAAGGGAAACCTTCTGTACTGTTTCCAAAATACGATTTTGAAATGTTAACTTTCTGTGACCCTGCCTTCTTCTTTAACGTTAAAGGCTTGTTCCGGTTAAGATATTCTCGGGGGCTTTGGCTTTAGAAAGAAGATGACCTAATCCTCTTTTGAGCCAGATAGGAGTGCAAGGGAGGCTCAAAGTATAGGATATTTGCACTTGGGATTATACAATGTGTGGTGAATTACAGTTAATATTTTAAAAGTGATATATAAATTAGAATTGATGTGTATTATAATGACTTGGGTTCCAGGCTATTCTATCAAAGTCTGTGGTGTTCTTTGCTAAATGTCCAGGGACTGATTTAAAATATTAATAGAAAATTTTAAGATCTGTTTTATTAAATCCATATGAAAGAAGTGGATTTTTTAAGTCTTGGATACAGGAAAATGATTATGTGTTCTTGCAGCAACCTGTGTGTGTTCTTGTGATCTTTCCTCTCATCTCTCTGTCACTTACAAAACATATACATGCATACACACATAGGCATAGAAGTTAGAAGAGTCTTGGATACTGCAAGATAATCTGAGTTCAAATGTCGGTTTGTTTTTAAGTCATCTCATGGAATTAGTAGGAGAAAGGCTCCATTGTAATCCAGTGGTCAGTGGCTATTTTTCCATAGTTAAAATTGCTCTGCAGTATATTTAGCAAGAGTAGTTCTTTGTTCTGCTTTTTAAAGAGATTTTCTGCCACAAGCTGTGTGGGGTATCTCAGAAACACTTTGGTGGCAGCATGGTTGCTGAAAGAATTGCAGCTCCAGCATTTGAAGTAATCTGGAAAAACAGAAGATGTCATTCCCTCTGGGGTTTGGCATTCTGCTGCATCGCCTTGGTTCAAAGGGCACTCTCTCTGGGTAAAAGAATCTTCTAATTATATATGTAGCCCACAGTGATGCAGATTTCTTATGGCTGCATAAAACCCCCTCTCAGTATATGGAGATCAGAACAAGACAATGGGGTTCTTTCTGCAGTTCACAAACCCTGGAGTTTCAGCAGGGTCAGGATGTAATTTTGATATAATTTCATTATCGTTGAACATTACATTACATTTTAAACTTTGTTAAAGCACAGAATGTCCTGTGATTTCCCCTCACCCCTGAGGGAATGAAAATTACATTTTAAAATGTAACAGAATTTTTAAATAAATCCTTTTTTTTTTTTTTTTTTTTTTTTTTTTTTTTTTTTTTTAGAAAAAAAAAACACACAAAAGAGTTGTAAAATTAAAATTTTTTCTTTTTTTTTTTTTTTTTTTTTTTTTTTTTTTTTTTTTTTTTTTTTTTTTTTTTTTAAGGAAAAAAAAAGCACCAACTGAGTTTGAAAATTGAAGATTTTCTCCCAGGCCAGTACCAGGGTTCCAAGATGAGATTATGATATTCCTACTTCTCATAAAATATCACTGACTGGAGTCTCAGCGTTACTGGCCTCCAAAGATTTGATTTATTAAAAGGAGCGTTGCAAGTAAAACAACAGAGACATGGTTTCAGTTGTGCTAAAACTGAAATGATGTGCAATTTTTTCTGAAGTGACTGGGAAAACAGGCTACTGCCACTTCAGGGCTGTAAATTTGTCAGGAGTAGAAATGATCCAAACCCAGCGTTATTTATTGAGCGTAACATGGTTTCTTCTGCACGTGTTACAGGAATGTTCTGATGCTGTCAGTAGGTCCTGCTCTGCTGAAAGGCTTTTATGAAAACTGGAGCCTTTAGCAATTAGCTGTACATCTGATTTTGTCCAGGCTTTCCCAGTAGTTACTCACTTGACTTCCATTTGTGTTGTATTACATGCAGAAGACTGAGTTTTGTTGTGATACCTGGGCTCCGAGGAGACTGGCCTGATGGGAGGCTGAGAACCATTGGGGTTATGTCCTTAGGACTTTAATTTTATCATCAGATGAATGGTCCCTTTGAACACTCTTTGCCTTATCATGTGTTCCCTATCACTGAAGTATCTACTATTAGCTTGAATGATGAGAGAGTCAAGCCTTGGCAAACCCTGCTTTTACTGTGTTTAATAAGAACAAGGTCATTCTCAGGCCTCCTCTTAAATTCTTATCCAACGTTGTCCCAGTTCCAACCCATTAACCTCCTAATTTCCTTTCCCAGTCCTTGTGGAACCCCAGGGAAAGGTAAATGTCACACATTTGATGTAGTGTGAATTCTGTGTTCTGCATAGATGAGGAAGAAATTTGGAAATGCTCTTTTCTGCAAATACTCCTGAGCAGTTAAGGGTATAGCTCAGATACTGTACTCAGGTTATCTGGGGAAAAAAGTGTTCTCCTGAGGAGGACATGCAGATTTAACCTGTTCATCTCATGGCATCTTCCTATGTTTGAGTTCCTTCCAGTAAAGTTTGTATGGTCTATGCTGACTATTTGGAAAACATCCCAGTTTTCAATCTCCCAAGCACTTATGTGATGGTTTATCCACACCTGTACTTTTGTGTCGTTTAATTACTTGCTAACGAAGAAATGCTGTCTTCATTATACAGTTTTTCTGATTAGCCTGCTACTCTGTCTTGGTTTTGCACAGCTTTGGAACCTCCTACGTGCAGCTACGCTTGCCCTTTCCTTTCGTGCCCATTCTTGCCTTTTCAGTCGTTTGAATCTGCAGGAAAAGGATTGAGTCATTAAAGCTTTCTTCAAAAAATGGTGTGAGATCTGCAGGGTAGTTTAAAAGAGAAATAGGAGAAAAAAAATACATGGTTCACCTCTTTGTTCCTGGGACTCGACTCGGATGTAACCTTCTGCTTATGATTGATCTCTCCTGCTTACGATGATCTCTCTGCTAGTGTAAGGTAGTGGTCTTGAATGCACAGATTGTATTAAGGGGCAGTGCACAGTAATTAAACAGGTTTTAAATTTTCAGGAAATCTTTTTTTCTTACCACTGTGTTTCCTGTAAAGACCTTTCGGTGTAAGGAGACAGTTTATACTCAGCATAGAGGGAAAAGTACCAACATTGATTTTGGCTTCTGGAAGAACCTTGCTCGGTTCAATTCAGTACTTCAGGTTTGCACAGCTGGCTTCTACAAATGTTTTAAAGATTTTTTACTGAGATTAGGCTATCATTTTGCAATGCAGAATAACTGAGTAATTCCTTTAAATTGCTTTACCTTTTTAAAGAAGTATTTCTGCTTCTGCATTGCCCAGGATGTGCCACTATAGAAGAAGTTGTTAAAACAACAGAGTGTGTTGTGTTGTGTACAAGTAGGCTGAAACTTTTGGGAACTACTTCAGAGTTTTGATTCAAGGCTAAAATGTTTCTTGTTCTGCTGTGCTGATGCACCCAGAACTGTTACTGATATTAAATTAAGTAAAATGTTTAAATAGAGATTGTTCTCTCTTGTTTTCAGGCAGACACTTGTTACACTTCTCAGACCAATCTAATTTTTTCTTGGTAAAAGTTAGTCTTCTGAGGGAATTGATTGCGCTTTTGAATGAGCTAACAAAATGCTATGCATGAGCTTCAGAAAGACAATCTCCACTGACTGAGCAGGCTTACAGCCTCCTCTTGACTCAACTGAAAATTGTTTAACACTTGGAAAGAAGTTTCTGCTTCGAAACTCATCTGCCCCACGTGCCCTTCCACAGCCCCCTTCATGTTAGCCAGTTTCTTATCGGAAAGACTTGACCAAGTCTTTGATGTGAAGGATGGATAATCCTTCACATCATGGTCAGGAAAATGCAGAAATCTGACTATGTTCATCCTTGATACAATGTTTTCCTTTGAGAAATCCACCCAAATTCTTATTCTCATCCTCCAGGGAAGTCAACTAATATTTTCAAAGATGAGCCTGGAAACTAAAATTCCACCTCTCTCAGAAGTGGAAAACCTTAGCATTAGTAGTGATGTTCACATAGCCTGTTGTAGTCCTTGTCCTGCAGCTCAAGGGTGTACTCTAAGCCTCTTGGGCCATGGATCCTGCAGGATAGGTAGATCCCATGGGAATGAGGGGTCCCGTGGAGGTCCCACACTGCGGCTCCGGGGGCTGGGCTCATCGCTGCAGGGAGGTGCTGAGCCAAGGCCGGACCCTGCCGTGTTTACAGGCTGGTGTGACCCAGAGGGATGCTTCCAGCTGAGCCCTGGGCACAGGCACTAAAACCCCCTCCATCTTTCTGAACTGTCTGATGAACATTATAAAGTTAAACCAAGAGGCCTTACTTCTGAGCTGGTTTTAATTTTTAACCTGAGTTCACTCGTGGTTTGTGTGGCCTGTACCATGTGCCCAAGAGCTTGTCTGCATTTTTCAGTTGTTTAATAAATACTACCTCTTCAACTTCTTATGCACTCTTTAACTTTCACAGCCATAGCAATATTACTGATTGAGGTAAAGCAGGGTAATCTGGGGATGTTTTATTTTGAGAGAAAGAAAATAAGAAACTTTTAATGTGGTCTCTTTTCCTACAATGGCAAGACTTAAAAAAGGAAAGAAAACCCATCCTTGAGAAGGGGTTAATGAAAGTAAAATAGTCACATTCCTGTCAGGTATTGTTACAGAATTTATGTACTTGGCTGCTGTTGGAAGTGTGTGTTCCGGTGAAGGTCTACACCTCTGGTAGTGAGGGGACAAGCATAACTGTGCAGTGAGGTTTGTTCCCTATACCTGCATCGGAGGTTCCTTCTCTTGTAGCTCAGATACTCTGCCCAGAGCCTTTTTGACTACATGAAGAAAATCCAGAATGATTCCAGCACTTTGGAGAGTTTTTGTGGCACGCTTCTGAAGGTCTTCGAGGACAACCTGCACAATGACCGGTAATGGTTTTCTCGTGCTTCCATTTCTAACAGCAGGACAGTTTGAAATTAGATGTATGGCACAGCTTTTTTACTGTGCCTAGATGAAGCATGCCTGAGCCTTGTTGCATGTGCTTTACTACATCTGTTTGGTACAGTGGTACCTTTGGTAAAACCTGTAGCAAAGGAGTGGTGTAGAATACTTTGCATTTACTATCCCATTATCATGCGTAATGTGATAAACACCAGGTTTTATATAATGTAATAGTGGGGTTATGTATTGCTGCACACTTTTCAGTGTAGTCCAGTCTGCATTTCCTTTAGGTAGAGTTCTTTCACAAATACTTGAAGTACATTTTCTTGTGAAGATTTTTCTTGAAAGGTGACTTACTCAGCAGAATGAGACTAATTTCTGTAAGCCTCACTTACCTGACATGTGCAAAATACAAACTGTTCCCTACTGGGAAAAAACCCACACAGTTATTAACAGGGTTTTCAGATTTATTCTGCTGCTTTTCTCATTTGTTGATACAGAAAACATGACCACAGTTAATCCAGCTGACACATTGTGTGTCGGTTCATTTGGTAATTACCTGCTGTAGCTGCTGATATGTTTTGTGGAATATGTTGTTTATATCCTAGAAAATAAATGAGTATTTTCTACTAGTGTGAATTGTGTTTTCAGGACCCTGCAAGTTGAAACCAGGCATGTTGTAATCAGGTGTTTTCCTTCTGGCTCTAACGGAATGTCCCCTTCTCAGCCAGGGAGGATGGTTTAGCCAACACAGAACTCCCCGAGCAACCCTCTTCTGTGTAAATCAGGGTTCTAATTTAAATGTGTGTAGGTAGACAGGAAGTTTTTTTCTTTGCTTCTCATTAAAATCGTGTATATATGTATGCCAGGAAGTGTATTTACATTGTTAAATGATTTTCTTTCATCAGGGTGTCTGTACCTCTCCTGACAATGCTGGACCAAATGCTGGCAAATGGCTGTTTTGACACCTTTACCATGCAAGAGAAGTAAGTTGCTGAAAGTCTTTTCTGTTTATTTTCCACCATGCAACAGGCCTCTTAAATGTTACAGTGCTGCTGAATTGCTATAGGTGTGGGTCCATAGGACTCCAGGGATGAGTGTATATGGATATGCTGATTTAATTTCTTGCAGATGTTTCAGAGGAGAATGATTTTAATTTCAGTAATGTTAAGATATATTCCACAAACTCTCTCAGGCAGCATCTGGGCACATCTACTGGTATTTGCAGAATTGTACAATGTAAATCCTACAAGCACTTGTACTGCTTTTGGAATCTGGTGATTCAAGAATTGCTCACAGCAAATAGATCTGAAAAGCCTTATGAATCTAAAAGTTTTAATTGAGTCTGCTCTTGTTTTGAAGCGTGTATTTAGATAATCTTTTTTAAATCAAATTTTTCAGTCCCTTCTTGAGTGAGAGTTTAAAATTAAGTCAGATACTCACAGATAGAACGAATAGTACTTGTTCAGTTTGGTGATCATGCTGGTGATCTGGGACTTCCACACAGGCTCCAGCCTTCCCTGAGGGGAGAATGATAGATTATGGGTGGAAATCCCTGAAGAGTCTGTCTCCCACATCATGGGGCACTGGACAGAGAGCGTGTGGTAGCATCAGTGTGTTTGCTGTGTCAGTGAGACTCGGACTCAGTCCTGTGGTGCCGTTGTAAAGCTTTATGGAAAAGGCCTGAAATAAAATCTAGGGGGAGAGAAGAGGAGGGAAAGATTTTGAAGGTGATCCAAGCATATTTTTGATGAAAAGGCCACCATGCTTTTCTATAACGTGTGCCTTACAGAAAATAGTGATAAGAGGGATGAGGTGAAGGGCTGTTTTCAGAAAGCAGCCTTACTGCTGGTGGGCAACTTTCCTGTTCTACTCTGCTATAAACTTCTTGTCATATAACAAATGAAAAACCTTTTGGAGAACCTGGGTATGAAACATAAGCATTCCTTGAGGTGTTTGTTGCCATTTCATTGCCTTCCCTCGTTTTTTACTACAGTGGGCTGAGTGGAGTTTCAGCAAGGGACAGTGTGCACTATCCTGAACCTTTCTTCCTAATAAAACTTTAGCAGTCCAGAGCAGGACTCTTAATTTAAGCCTCTTAATTTAAGCAGGATCGGAGCAACCTGGTCCAGTGGAAGGTGTCCCTGCTCATTGTAGGGGGATGGAACTAGAAGAGCTTTAAAGGTCCCTTCCACCTCAAACCGTTCTGTGATTCTATGATTAATAGCTGTTGGCTGAATTAGTTTGACACTCGTTCAGAGCTCACTGCTCCAGTTAAAGCAGATTGCCACTTGGTGTCACTCCTGCCCTGCAGAGATGTGACCTGCGGGGCATTTTCCTGCCTCTTCCACCTCACAGCTCATAAAGTTCAGAATATGCAGCTTGACATCTCTGGCACGGTTTTGTAGGTGGATTTCAGCGCTGGTGGAGCTCTCTGCAGGGCTGGTGTCTTGTGATCTTAGTGCAGGAGGGCGAGTGAACCACTGGGTGTTTCTCCTCAGTTGTCATAATTTGAGTGCTCATGTTTGAAGTGAGATTTATGTGTTGTGTGTAGGTCATTTCTCTGCCAGGTTTCTGATGAACCTGCCAGCAGGGAAGCAAAGTGCAGGGTAAATACCTGTCCTGTGGGGTTTGAAATGAATCAACTTCAGTATCACTGGGGTAATCAAAAGTCTCTCAGAAGCAGCTTCTCTTTGTTGTGCTTGGCTTAGTTTGAGTCTGCAGTGTGGAAAGCTAAGCTCCTCCTGCCATTTTGCAGGCTGTTACTTCCTACTCATCTTAAGTTGGCTTAAACCTGCGTGTCCAGCATGGGAATCTCCCCCTTCCGTGAACTGGCAGGAATGGTTTGTATTGCTACGTGATGAATGGCATTAGAGAACTGTTCCAGTTAAAAATACCCTGTAAAACTCAGCTTGAGGTGGTTCCTCGATCTGTTCTGCTGTGTGCTCACAAAGTGTGCCAGAATAAGGAGGGAAGCAGTGGGAGGGAAGGGAGGGAAACCGTTTCTCTTGGCAGCAGGGCAGGTGTATTCTGGCACAAAGTGGCTGTGAAACTGCAGCATCACTCACCTCCCGTGTCTTCCCTGCTCTGTGCCCTCCTGCCCAAACAGGGCCGTAGAACTCAGCCGAAATGGGATTTCTTCTCTGTGGTGGCAGGACCCAAACCCTCCCCATTTCACCTCAGTGTACATGGTGAATATTCAGAGCCATATTCATAATTACATAGGGAGTGTGAATTGATTAGAGAACTGAAGCTCCGTGCAAAACTGGCACTGGATGATTATTTTCTGGTTACAGCTCCTGTGGCTGTAGGGAGATCGGTAGGTCCTGAGGAAGTACAGTAAAATTAGTGTAACACAGAGCACCAGGTGAACAGAATAACCTTTGAATGGCATTTCAGGATCTAATGCTTTCTGGAGTAATAAGTAAAAACATTGAGTCTGATTCTTCTGTGTATGTATCTTAAATGTTCAGCAAAAGCATCTGTGCACTGTGCGTGTGTCACCTTTTTCTGGTGGTCAACGTTTCAGGATGGTCTGTGTCCCCACTGAGCTTTGACTAATGATTTCTATGTACTACTATGGATTATGCATTGTATGTATTCCCTGTGAGGGTGCTGAGGCGCTGGCACAGGGTGCCCAGAGCAGCTGTGGCTGCCCCATCCCTGGCAGTGTTCAAGGCCAGGTTGGACACAGGGGCTTGGAGCAACCTGCTCTAGTGGAAGGTGTCCCTGCCCGTGGCAGGGGGTTGGGACTGGATGAGCTTTAAGGTCCCTCCCAACCCAAACCCGTCTGGGCTTCTATGATGTCTCTCTTTACTGAATATGTACTTTTTTAAAGCAGTTCTGCTGCTGTTAAGTTACACACCACACAGCAGAGCCTGGCAGAGGCTGTTGGGTTTCCCGGCCACCGCGGGTGGTGTCAGCCGAGCGGCCGTTCACCTTCAGGAGGAAAAAGCCCTCACCTTGCTGCAGCCCCGCGTGCGCCCAGTTTATATCATGTAAAGGCTTTAGGCTGATCCCTTCTCCCCAGATGCTGACTCTGTTCCTGCTGGCGCTGTGCCCACACAGGAGAAGGAATTTTCTCAATTTCCTTTCAAGAGGCCAAGCTATTTGAGTCATCTGAGATCACACATAGGTTAGGTTTAGTTATTACAAATGTGAAACTGGCAAATGACAGAAAGTGCATCTGTTTTAAACACAAAATGCTGCACATAAGGTTATATGTATTAAATTTATTCCAGATGCTTTTGTTGCAATTGGTCTCTTTGTTGCTGTTCTTCCCACTGATGTTCCAGTGATGTTGTTCAACCAGTTTAAATCTCACCTAATTCATGACATTGCTGTTGTTCTGTGCTGAAAGCCAGGCATGTGTTGCAGGTATTGTAATTAGTTGTCTACACAAGGTCTTTGTGTAATTGGGGGTGGGAGGAGGAGAAATTTCACCAAGGTAAGAAAGCACATTCATTCTCCTGGTCCGAGGCGAGCAGGTACGCGCTTCCCTCGTGCACACAGACAAGGTGTGGGCACACACACACAGACTCATTCATGCAGATGCCCGTCATTCTCATCACACATCTCCTCTGAGCATGCTCCCTGTGCTTGTCTTGTCGTGCTCCACAGAACCATGGGCAGTGGATGGCGAGAAACCTGCTCTTCCAGCCTCCAACAGAGGCGTTTTAAGTCAGCCTCCGCAGAGTCGTTGCTCCCCAAAGCCACTCTTGGCTCTGATCATTTCTTATGAAGCCCTAGTATCAACACTGAAACTGTGGCAATTTAATATACTTTTTCAGTGGGGTTTCTGGACAATATTTATGGCTGTAGACAGCATCCTTTAGCTTAATGGGTCCATGGTTTGTTGCTCAGGCATTTTTAACCAAGTCAAACTTGGCCAGTATTTTGGGTTTTGTTTCAAGTAATTAAACCCCACTAACTCTTGTCTGGAAAACCATATATAAAAAGGCGCATTAACTTCACAAAACATCTTGTCACTCCTATAAACATCTTGTTTTAAATGTTCCTTTTTTCCAACAGATTATGCTGCATGGCTTTTTGGAGTAGTTTTTCTCCACAGCTTTGAATCACAGTAGCAGAAAATGAATGTTGCTATTTTTCTTTCTGCTTTCCATACACAATAAGTGAGGTTTCCAAAATACGCAGCCTAAAAGACAAATATGAAATAGTTTCTTTTGCATCTGTGGCACTTCAGCTTGGAGTGTAGCGAGTAAAAGATTAAATCATTTGAACTGAAATAAAAGCAATATTCCCTCTTTACTTGGCTTTAATAGCTCCTTGGAATATACTAACAATGCTTGTGTTTGTACGAGCGTCTGGGAAAAAGCTGTGGGAATCACCTTTCCCAGGCTGTGTGGAAAGAGAAAAGAATTTGCTCAATATATTTAAAGATGGCTTCGTGGCTCGGGTACGTAACAGGGGTGTAAGCCCTGTGTTTAATTGCGTTGTCTGGAATCACTGAAGGAATTTGGGCTGTGAAATGGTCAAGTGTTTAAGAACAACATTTATCCCCTTTTAGATAGAGTTTAGTGGAAGCCCTTAGGGAACGACCAACGCACCACAGTGACACACAGACTAAATAACTTCTATTTGGCTATGTATTTTAATTCCTGACGTGGTATTTCTGGTCATACCATGCTCTGTTGCAAACACAAGTCATGGCTAGCCAGTTACCATGGATCCACTGGGTCGGTTTGGGTAAATGGAGTTCAGTCCTCAGCACACAGGTAGTAGCAATGGAATAATGGCAATAAGTAATGCTAATTTCTTACCTTCCCTGTTGAAAAACAGAAACACCCAGTGAGGTGGTAGCCAAACTTGCCTGTGGCTCTACTAAAGGCCAACCTGATACTGTGCTGTTGTGGAAGAAGCACTTCCTGCTCTGCACTGTCTTTACTCGCCTTTGAATGTTAATTTGGCACCTTTATTGTTTGAAATCCTACTGGAACTGATGATTGTTCATCTCTTTTTCTTTCCCATTTTCAGCCATCCCTTTCCAGTGAAGTTATTTACCCTTTGTAAAGAAGAGATCAAGAAATCCAAAGACATCCGGAAGCTTCGCTCGAGCATAGGAGTGTGAGTTGATGAACTCAAGTAGTCTTTGCTCTGCTTGTAAGAAGTGAAGAAAATTTAAATTACAGATAGAAGAGCTGGGTCTATTTCATGTGAAATTTGAATTAAAAATACTCACAAATAGACATAATAGAAGGTTGTGAGAGCTTCATGGACTTGTAGATGGTTGGGGTGAAAACATATGAAGTGATAGAATTTAACTACTTTAAAAATGTTGCTGGTATTCTTAAAGCTGCAGTGAACTGTGTGCTTTTTGTTTGTACAGAGCTTGACTGGGTGCCAGTGCAGAATACACCGAATTGATTAGATCTTGTCTGTGCACCAGAAAGAGCTGAAAACATCTGCAAAATTACTGTCGGGTGTCCTGGGTTTGCTGGGGTAGTTAAGGGAGTTTGTTAAGAAACGGGGGTTAAACACAACATCTACCTCCAGGGTGAAAGCCCTCGGTCCAGGCAGCAGAGGAGGCAACACCAGGGTTCACTGGCAGGCTTCTCCAGGTGGGACAGCATCTGGCAGCGGTTGCACAGGCAAAGCCTGCCCTGTGCTTCGGTGTCGACGTGACTCGGGTTCACGTGTGGGTCCCAGCGCACCCTCAGTGCTGCCCATCAGGAGTCAAACCATGTTTGCACTTGGCACAGCGAGTGGCACCTCAGGAACCCTCCAGGAGCTCAGCACACGTACCTCAGTGTTTGCTTTCCCACAGCACTTGGAACTGAGATTTCCTGGGCCCTGCAGAGCGTCCCCTCCCTTTTCTCACATACACATCTTCATTCTCATCTGCAAAATGTACTTTTCCAGTTCTAACTCAAGATCTGGGTTTTCTCCTTATGTTTTCTAGGTTTTGTGGCCTGATTCAGTTTCAAGGAGACATGAGAGAGAAAGTTTTCTTTCAGTTGTTTCTTCTCCTTTGCCATCCATTTCCTGTAGTAAGTACTGAAGACACTGCATATTGTCAAATGTATTATTTAAAATACTTCACACATAAAAAATAACCTGCATTAAAGCAGCATTCTTTGTAATAGATATTAATGTATATAACAAGTTTTATTTCTCAAGAGTCTGTTATCTGCAGTGCTGCCACCTGACACAGGCTACTGGATATTTGCAGCCTGTCTGGCTGCTCCATATACATCCTGCTTTTCCATCTCTGTGGAAAATCAGAAGCAATTTAGATGCCTAAGTAAGTCAGTCATTTGTTTCTTATATGCAGCACCCAGCACAGTGAAGGTCTGTTCCCCATTTAGAGCTTGAAGGTTCTAGTCAGATACATTACTGTTAGCTTTGTGACATTTCTGATAGCAGCGACACAGGAGAGTAGTTCTGGTTCAAGAAAAACGTATTTGTTCTGTTTGTGGTGGTTTTCACCATATAAAACCCAGGAGCCCCGACTTGCAGCTGCTGTGGTGCCAACCACATCCAACAGTTCCATATGTCCCTGGTGTTCTGTGCCAGGGTTTCACCTGGGGACGTTGGTGGATGTTCCTGTAAGTAGGTAGGACTTGCTCCTCTGTTACGGGCAGCCACTGAGCTGCATCCACGGTCAAGTGCTGTAGGAGAAACAAAGGCTGTTGGAGGTAACGGCAACCCATGAGGTCCCGAAGCGGTTGGAGAACACCCTGAAGAGCCTGGTGTCTGGCCAATGCAAACCAGCACTGTTTATTCTAACACTGATTACTTTTGCCAGTGACTTTTTAAGGTTAAAATCACGTGGTGCTCAGCAAAGGTTGGTACTGCAGATTCTTACTGCAGCTGTTCCCATGTTGTGTGTACTGGCTACAGGAAGGGCGCAATGTAAGAACTGAAGAGATCATTTCCATTTAATGTTTTATTGGTATTTTATACCGTAAATATGTTTTGGTTTTACAGATGGGTCAATTTAATTGGGATCAATCTGGACACTGCTACTCCAGAAATAAGCCTGGAGTTACTAAACCTTATTTCTTTGCTTTCCTTTGCTTAGCATCAGGCTTTCTTGGAAAAAACGAACAGAATTTGGTTTTGCTGCACTTTTGCTGTCTTCCATTTAGTATCATCTTTCCACACAGGGTACTTCAGAACCAGCCTAGCTGGAATATTAACTGCTTCCAGAACCCAGAGTGTAAAATGTTCATGTCAACTCATCATCCATCTCCCAGCAGTTTTTAAACAAGTTTTGCTGATTCTTACAGTCTCCAGACTGGGAAGTCTGTTTTGTGAGCCCACAGCAACCCAAGTCAGAGTCAGACTTTGCCTCAAGCAAACAAATGGTCCAGTTCGTAGAATGAGTTTAAAACTCATCTCGTCAAACCCCTCTGCAGTGAGCAGGGACCCTTTTAACAAGCTCAGGTTGCTAAGAGCGAGCCCCATCCAGTCTGGCTTCCAGGGATGGGTCCGTCTCAAATATTTGGATTCATTCCATGTGAGGGACAAATCTGTAACCTTAATCTGAAATACTTCAAAAGGGGAGTGAAAATACACTATTTAGTAGCATGAATTTCCTGCAGCGGATCCTTGTCAGAGGCAGGAATGGACAGACTAGTTCTGAGTGTGACCAAGTGCCCACCATAAAGTGTTGTCCCTGTGAGGAGCCACCTGGGCTCTGCTATACAGGGTTGTGCAGCCTTCAGTGACCTGCCTCTGCCTCTTCCCGTAGATACGGAAAACAACAGCCAGCCAAGTGTACGAGATGCTGATAACCTACAGTGATGTGGTGGATCCTGCCATCGTGGAGCTGGTTCTGACCATACTCAGTGATACCAACTGGTAAGTGCATTTGTTGCCAGATAGTGATAAGACTTTTGTACTACGAGGTTAAAAAAAGTGGATGCCTTTGAAACCTGAAAGAAATGATACCTGGTTTTAAGCTTTTATTGCTTTTAGGCCAAAAAAAGCCAATGCTGAAAAGGATTCTTCTGTTCTAGGGAACTGTGTGGTATATTGTCCCACTGTACCATTGTGTGTACACATATATATATATTATATATGTGTGTGTTATGTATATACCACATACCATTGTGGTATGTATAAATTCACTACTAGATAAAGTAAAACACCCATATTTTTTTAACAACATAAAAAGGGAGGAAATCTTGGATGTTCTCCATGAAACAGAGACTGGGCTGTGCACACAGTCAAACATCAACTGCACGGACAGTTTCTTGGCATGATGAGCACTGGCAGGATTTGGGGAAAGGAAGGATCTCTGCAAGCTGCAGAACAACAGAATTAGCAGAACAGCTCAAATCTCCCATGAAATGTCATTACTCAAAACACTACAAACGTTGTATTCAAGCAAATACTTTGAATTGGAACAGTTTAGATGTTTCCCAAGCATATGATCACATGAATTAAACAACCACTTCTGTAGAGCATAATTCACTCATTTACCTCCTGCTACCTTCCTCCAAGGGCAGGGGAGCGGGGCCCCGTTCCTCCCAAGTAGGATTCACCAAAGCTTAAATCAGTTTAATAGTTTTGCTGCCATGTTAAGTATGTTTCCTTGTTCCAGATGACTCTCCTGGGTCATGGCTGCAGTGGCCCAACAGCCTGCCTCAAGGAGCAGTCAATACATGAGAATAGACAGATATTAAAAAAAGTATGTATTATTTATTTAGTCATTATTTTAAGTGGGGTTTTGTCTTCATTGACATTTCACGGAAATACAATGAACCAAGACATGTTGAGAGAACAAAGCTACCTCAAGCTTGTGGGTTACACCATTTAAATTTTATTTACTTTCTAGTTTTTGTGTTTGAGCTTAAGTATCGTTATATTTGGGAAAAGAAAACAAAGTTTGTCATTGTCAGGGGTGGCTGCTGCTCTTTTTCCTGAATTTTCCAGTACAGAAATCAGAGTAACGGTCTCAGGTTTGAAGAATTGGTTATTAACAGGTCTGCCTGTTGTTAAAATTAGTTGTGTAACTACATACTGGTGTTCAGTATCATGTTTAGTGTGAAGCAGCGCTCCCTTAGGAAACCTGAGTTGAAGAGCGGGCTTGCTCGGAAGTTACATAAAGAAACTGTTCACAGAAACAACTGAGGAGCAGCAGATTATTGCTGTCACACAGAGGTGTTCACAGTACCACACTTAGACCAACCAGCTACAGAAGCACCAGTGGTAGGACAGCTCCAAATGGGTTACTACAAGAAAGCAAAATACTTCCTACAAAATAGTTCAGCAAAATAATTAGTGTGATGGGGCTGCCTGGTTTGTGCTGTCTTAGTTCAGGGCTGGCTCTAAGCTCCCCCTGGCAGTACATCCACTGCACCAAGATTAAAGATGAAGAGCTCGTTCACTTCAAACTTAATAGATTTCTCTCGTAGATTTAACTGTTTACAAAGGAGACATTTGAAGCCTTTGCTGAGTGTCAAAGAGGCTGCTTGTTACTCTTGAATGCTCTTGTGCTAGAACAACCAGTAACTTCTGAATTGCCATAAGCATTAACGTCAGGAAGCCAACTGAGACTTAGTATTTGGGGAAGATAATTACTGGCTACACAGCTTTTTTCCTTGATGGAACTACAGAGAGTGAGTTTGTCAAACAGTTGTAGAATTCAAACTAGTTACTCTATAAATAATAAGTTTGTTCAGCTACAGGAAGGTTTCCAGTATTAAATACGACAAATTGTCCGGAGTTGTTTCTAACTGGCCCTTTAAGCATTTTCTCTGTAGTTTTGGACTCTGTTTATGTGCTAAGAGTTAAATTTTTAGTAGTTCATTTACAGTTGTTACTTAAGAAAACCAAAACAAATCTACTGAAATGGTGAGTAATGGGAGCAGTCTCACAGCATTCCGGAGTGGTAGATTTTTACAGCATGGAAAAGAATGTTGTCTGCATGGATTTTTGGCATTTGGGAGCTTTTTGTAACTGACAGTTCTTGAGGAAATTCTCTCATGGACATCATGCTATTGCAGAAACCTTGTAAAAGACAAGTTCTAGGTCTGGATTTTCTATTTCAGGAGAATGTCGAATGTTCTCCACATCAGTGACATTTATTTTAATTCTTGATGCAAAGCCTTAAACAAAAAGGAGCTGTAACTGTAGAGAAGAAATGACTGAACTTTTAGTCAGAAGGGTTGTTATGAATAAGTGTTATATTTTGGAATACAAAACCCCAAAATAATAGTCTTGGACATTTTACTAGCAACTGGTCACTTGTGGAAGATTTCTGTGTACTTAGGGGTTATCTGCCCTAAGATGGTACAAAAATGTTATTCTCAGACTGTGACACAACGAATCTTCTACAGATGTACATGAAAGACTAGCTGCACACATAGTACAGAGTGACAGCATGGATAGCTGTATGTACGGAGCCAACTTCCAGGCTTTATTCATCAATTAACTGGACAATACTTCCTCACACAGGGAAGCTGAACTGCCTGTTGTGAGAGAGAAGCGCAACTGCCTCTGTGATCTCATGAACGTGCCCAAACCACAGCTGGTGTCCAAGGTAAGAAAAGCAACAGGCTCCAGAAGGGGTTTAGAGAAACAGTGATGATCAGCTGCTCCACCACATCTGCTGAGTACTTGTGTGCAGCAGCTGTGGCTCTTCACTGGTTCATGAATACGTCCATGCGCACCAGGAGGAACTTCCTCACACCTGACTACACAATTCAGAGAATTGCTCTACAGAGTCCTTCCAGTCTTGCTTCCTGAAAACATTCCAGGCTTGCAGCATGATATCTTACTCAGACAAAACCTAGAATGAAAATGCAGTTCAGATCTTTCAAACACTGCCTGCCTGGCATTTCTCAGGAAAGAAGAAAGTAAAACCCTCCCCATCCAGTTCAACAGCAAAATCATAACGTGAGATGGAAAGCACAGAGTTCTAAGAGGAAGAATAGAATTTAACCATTAATACATTCACAGAAAACAGACACCATGTCCCCATGTAGGTCCCGTTTCATGCAGATTGTTTGGGATTGCCCATCTGCTCCATGTTTCAGAAGTGCAGGATTGTCTGCTCGGTCAGGGGTTCCTCTCCTCCCTGTCCAAAGGTGAGGAGGCTGAATTATTACTGCTTTAGAGAACATGTGTTAACATGACCATTTACAAAGAAAAGTTATTTTTACTTTGAGTAATACAAGACAAGGTGAAAATGCTCGATGACTTAGGGCTACTTCCCTACTATCAAAGGTATTCACAGCATATGATCTATGCTGTGAACAGATTAAGCTTAAAAATAGTGGTATATCCATTTATTCTTGGCCTTTGTAATTTTCCTTGTGCTTTCATAGCTCTAGAATGCTTTGTCCTTTGTAATTATTTTAGAGTTCAGAAACATCCCCTGTGAAATTTTTTTTCCTGAGAGGGTGGATCTTCATTTCCCTCATTTTCTACCTGAACACCATTAGAGGTTTATTTTCATGACTAGAATTACACAAACCATTATTCTCTTGCCCTGCACAGTTCCACTTCAGAATTGCATTTTTAGCATTAGCCTTTTTCACAGCTGCACCATCTGTGGCTGAAAGCCACCAAGTCCTTTCTCGTGCATAGCATCCAACGGAGATCTTAGCTGGTGATGTTTTTACAGTGCTTGTTGAACTGGCTCTATGTGACTGTTACATGATGTAAGTCTTTGAGGTCAGCCAGTTCCTCCTGTGTAATATTCTGATAATCCTTTACACTGAAGATACTTTCTAATGTACATAGATCCTATGTTTTGAGTTATCATTGATATAAACATATATATATATATATATATATACACACACTTAAAAGTCTATTTAAAAAATTGGTCAGAATTCTTAACTGTGGTTACTTACTGTGAGTAAACTTCAAAGACACCGTGCTGTGCCCAGAGCACTTTCTTTACTCATCTTCCAGTTTTTACCAGCAAAGTCTATTTAAAAAATTGGTCAGAATTCTTAACTGTGGTTACTTACTGTGAGTAAACTTCAAAGACACCGTGCTGTGCCCAGAGCACTTTCTTTACTCATCTTCCAGTTTTTACCAGCATGTGCAACTAACGGTTTTGTCATTTTGGTGAACAAGAATGTGACCCTCTCACCCATCCAAGGAACTGGGTTTAGAGCAAAAATTGCCCTGAGCATTGCTGAGTCAGGGTTTTCTATCCACCAGGAACATTATGTTCAAAATAAAGGTGTTACAAGATGAACTCCCTGATCTCAAAACCTCCCCTTATTCCAATTCCTAAATTATTGGAGGCTGCGAGAAGACTGATAAGTTAGGAGAAAGCTGTCTCTAGTATATACAAAACAGTAAGAAATCCCCAAATATACATACAGGTATTTGAGGTGGAACTGCTCCAAACAGCATCATGTGTAATCTGGAAATTAGGTGCTGCATTTGGAACTGTATCTTTTCCTCCTCTTCTAACATAAGAGAATCATTAGTATAACTTTTAGCAAAAAGAGTGAAGCCTGCACCTGCCCTGAGAACTGCTGAAGTTCACTCTGAAAGTGACAGTGCAGGTGAAGGCCTTTTCACAGCTGGCCAGATGATCCTGGGCTCTGCTCACACAAGAGCGCACAACACATTGCTCTTCCACAGCTCCCATATCCTGAGAAGAGGGGAGAAACAGCGTAACAGCATGAAAAGGTGGCCAGAGTTAATTTCAGCTGAAATCAGCTCTTAAAATGCCTTCAAAACTTGTAGAAATAAAATCTGCTAGAGGAAAGTTAAAAATCATGGTGTTAAAAAGGACTGTCACTATTACAGCTTTGTTTTCTTCTCCTTTTTTACATTCTCCTACATTACATGATTGAGGTACTGCTAAACCAGTGATACATGCCTACTCCACATGTTTCTTCTCTCTTGTAGAGCTCGGCATGATGAAGCTGCAGGCCCTGGCTGCTGGTCTGTCACCTGAAGCTCCTGGTTCAGGTGCCCATTAGGATGGATGAATTCATGCTGCAGCATCCTGACAGAAGGGCTCCCGGCAGGAGCTGCGCAGCGCACTGTTGAACAATAGAAGAGGCAGAGGTCATGTCTTACAGCATTGTGCAGCTCTGCCACGGGCAGGCAACCAGTCAATATGGTTTCAGTTTTTAAAGCCATTACCTGTAGCCACAAGATGGCAGTTTCTCTTCATACTTCTGTCACAATTGACCTAGGTTATTTCTTTCAATGTCAATGATTTGTACTTCTACAACTCTGAATGGAGCTATTCAGGCTGCGCTTGCTGTACACACGTTTAGTATTAAACCTGCCTTGCTGCATTAGTCTCTGAAAAGAACTGTTTTTCAGAGGTAAGTATGGCAGTGCTTAGTGATAATGAAATCTTCCTGAACATAAAGTATCTCTGTGGCTAAATCTGTCATACTTCTGTCATAGTCAAACAAAAAAATCCCAGTTTCACTTCAGCTCAAGTCAAAACCTCTCTTAGTAGCTCTTATATAAGTAATTCAAAGTAAAAGGGTTTTGTGGTAAACTAGCTTTAGGGACTGAAGCTTTAATCCCCTGAAGAACAGAGGTGAGTCAGTACTTCAAGCAACCACTAGAAATTTAGACCATTTCTTACTGACCATAAAATGAAATCGCTGTAACATTTATGATCTTTAGCAAGATTAATGTGCTGAGGACAAATGCACAGGCAACATGATACTCTAATGACACCATGTTATTTAGTGGTTTGAATTAAATCTCACTATCCCAGTGCTTCAGGTAGAACAGTGGCTCTGTGTATGTGTGTATATATACACATATCTAGGAAAATTTAAAAGGAAGGAAAAATTCAGGCAGAGGACTTAAACCCAGGCCAGTTTCTCTGTGATATACCTGCTACAGACTGCAGCAGTCTTCTCCTGCAGGTGTTCACTTCCAAAACTACACCCTGCCTGTCTCCAAGATCCTTTTGAAGAAGATAATTATAAATTATATTACTCCATACTTCCTAAGTATACTTGCAACCTGTCTGGCAGATGAAATTCAGTGTAGATCACAGAGCCACTCACAGCCTGTTGCACAATCAGTACTAATTCATGTGGCTGTGCATGATGCAGCGGCTGCCTACAGGCATTACTGCAGGAGGAATGCTCCTGAACCCACAGCCCCAGCATTGTTGCCTTGTCATGAAAATGGAAGATTCTAGAACATTCTTACAAGATCTTAGATTTGCAGAGTTATTGCTATAGGTCCCTGCTGCAAGAAAAAGCATGAGTTGTGTTGGCAATACCTGCTTATTCAGAAAAACCCAGGAGGGTCCAGTGAAAATGATGAGCATCTGTCCATGCAAACAGGCATCTGGCTGCCAGATGCTGGTACAGACACAACTACTTTCACACAGTCCCAGTTGGAGGTTGCCCCGCTCCAGTCACAGCCTGGCCCTGTGCAGGGCTTCACCTCAGCCAGCACCGTCTGCTGCGTCCAGGGGCAGGGAATGGCAGAGTGATGTTTGACAGAACCCTCTCTTTAACACTTCCAGTGGTTACAGGCTTTGCTTGGTGCATTTCTAAGGGTTCCCTATGGTAACAGTCTCCTTGTAATCTTATGGCCTGTATTTGATGGTTCTTTTAAATTAGAAACACAATTTAACGATCAAACTGAGCTTGGTAAACAAGGGATGTGCTATAGTAAGATGAGCAAATAGCATTATCCATGGTGTAACTAGGACCTCCCTTAGAAAGGGGTTGCTCAGCACAAAGATTAACTTCTAAACCTCAGATTAAAGATTAAATTCTAAACCTCTGAACGCTGGGTCTTGGTACTCACACAGAGGGTAACACGGCTTCAGTACCACGGCCTTACCTTGGTTTTTAGTTAAAGTGATAATAATCCACCCCTTCCTTCAAGTTCAGCATGTTCAGGTTTGTTTCAAATGCTCCACCTGTCAAATCCTGGGAGGGAAGAAAAACAGAATGAGAGCAACCAGACAAACGCATTTCAGGTTGTAACAGGTTTGGGTAATTCTGGTCTATAACCACAGAAGAAAGTCCTATTTGCAGAACTAACCATAAATAAAGCCAGGCTCAGAAATGTTTCCATTGAAAAATTAAATGTATGTTGAAAACTTAGAAGTTCACATTAGTATTTTGGGGGGTGTCTGACAACTCATTCTCACACTGCAGTGTGGAACATGAGGGTGATACCGGGTTTTGCACATTTTGGTTCCTAATGCATCTTAAAAGAATGGACCAAGGGAGTGAGTTTGACAATACAGTGGTTTTGTAGATTCTGAACAAGGATTAGCTTGTCTGATGAAAGAAACCCAAAATACTTTGCATAGTGAAAGGTATTTTGCTAGTTACATTACCTGACGAGGAGCTGGGTGCGTTTGCTCCATGAGCAATCGTGCAAGGCAGTGATGGCATAGAGAAAACACAGCAAGTGCAGGGTTTCTGAGCATGTCTGTTGAAGTCATGGACCAGAGTTTTCAGACAAGATGTTGTGTTACAGTCTCATTGTGAGGGCTTCGCAAATTAAATGTGCTTTATAACAGGTTGCACAGATGTTTTGTCTAGGGACTTCCACCCACCATTTTACATAGTATGAAGAGTTAAATTAGTTGTAATATTACTAAGCTTATCCAAGAGTTTATCAACCAACAGTACATGATAATGCCCTAAGGTACTTTCTGTCTGGCTGTAGAATTCAGTTATGATTTCAGAGTTGATCGTAAAGTTGGGAGTGCTCAGTTAAAAGGAGACTGTACCAGATGAGATGAGATTTGGTTGATCAGTCTTTGCACAGATCCAGCACAGTGCTGGGATGGTGGTGTTTATATCGAGATACAGGTTTAGTTACTGTCAGACTTTTTACTAATGTTTGCAACTAAAATGTATTTGCTATTTTGCCTTAAAACTTCTGTGTTACCCCATATACTGTGCTTTGCTCTTTTAAATGTAACAGCAAAATAATTGCTGGTTATCATCTTCCAGTTATGTTAATAGGTCAATTAAAGCAGCTGAAGTAAGAAAGTTACCACATTCGGGCACAGAAGAGGCTTTGGAATTGGCAAGGCAAAACCAAACAGTTTTTCAGGTCTGATTTAGAAACCAAAGCCTTTGTGATACATAGGGCTGCAAAATATGAGGAATAAATGAGGCCACGTGGCAACTCTGTCTACCCGTTTGTGTATATAATGTTGGGCAAGAAAGTAAAACAAATCCAAGTTCCTTTACAGAAGCTGTACTTTTTATTATTCTTAATATGTCTATACTTAGTACTGTTGTTCTAAATCCCTGAAATACTCTGCACAATCAAGTTGATTAAAAAGCCATTCAATTTCCTTGTAAGAGCTTCTGGGAAAAGCTGCCTGCAGTAAATAGAACTTAATATTTGTAAGGAGCAAAATGCCAGTTTCAAATCTAAAGCAAAGGCTGAAGGTGGCACTCACCAGCTTCATGCAGATAATGAAGGGAGGAGTTGCATGTCTGAAGTGACATACTGGAATTCTTGGTTTTGGTCTCTCCTGCAGGAAGAAGCAGGAGAATTCAGTAGGGGCACACAGGGCTACTTGAGCTTACGTTTAGAAGCTATTGAACACTAACAGGGGGAAACATTATTTTGAGACTATACACCAAATAGCTGCTGACATGCTCATTAGTTTCCTAGCTGGCTCGAGCACCCCCTGTTCTTACCACAATCTTTCAGTACAGTTGTGTTTCTTTGCCCAAAGTTGCAAATGACACCAAATCCGAGTTAAGAGCCTTCTGCAGTTGGAAGGAGACTGTCTCGCTCCTTCACCACTTCTTCCTTACCTCCAAGGTCTACTTTTAGCCCATTCCCAAACAATTCCCTCTCGGATCTGATGGCCAGGTATGCTGCTCTAACAGCCTACCCCATAAAATAAGATGGGGTTTTTTGGTAGGTTAGTATTCTGCCACTTGAGTGAGCTGCATCACTTACTGTGCCATCAGAGCAGGCACGGTACTGGGTATAAAGGAGAATCCTTCCCTCTCAGTGGGAGATGGAGCCAAGCTGCAGAAAGTTCGAAGGAATCACAGTCTACAGAACAATCTTCTCTATGACTGGTCTGAGGGCATGGGTATGTCTTAGGAAGACAAATGCACAGGAGCTGTAACAGTTTTGCTGACAGTGTCACTACGCTGCTAGGTGGCGAGTCCTCAGGGTTCCAGGTCAAAATCCCGAACTCCAATTTCATTCATGCAGCTGAAAGCGCTCATCAGCTTCCCAGTATAGTCCTTGATGTTACAGTTACTCTGGTCTAAGAAAGAACTAACCTCAGATTCCTCATATGTGTAGAATCCTTTTGTTATTTTCTTTTCATCCACATCACAAAATGCAGTTACCTGCAAAACACAAACGGAGCATTTCAGTACCATCCCTTGCTACCACAGGCATTTCTCCTGCAGTGTATCTGTGTCAGTAATGCTACAGGCATGTGAGTGAACACAGGAATAGAGCAATGTGCCTCAGTCCTCCTATGGAGCTTAAATGTTTATTAAATCCTTGCCAGGGTTATCTGAGGGAGATGGATGCATTTTGCAGTTGCCCATGAGCACACGATGTTTTTACAAACACAAGAACAGAGGATCTAAGCTACTTACTGCATAAGACAAAACATCTGCGAGATCTTCACCTTCATCCTCAGCAATATGCCAAGTGAAAGTACAACCACAGAGCAGCCTCCTCATTTTGGCACTTATTTCCACTAACACCTAAGATTAGATGATACAAACCCTCCTCCTTCTGCCTCCCCAAAGTGTGTATCTACCACCAGATAGCTCAGTACAGCAATGCTGCACTACTGCTTTGGATGCTCTGGTAATACCAGCCCCAGTTCTAGGTCATAACACACCGTATTGGGGAATTCCTGTGGGTTTGGACTGAAAAGTTCAGCAGATCTGGTATTTAAACACATATCATTACTGCTTCATTTTGGTTCTTACTGTAGTTATGGAAGCATTATTTGCAGCCCTAATTGCCAAATAGTTTACATAGTTTTCTATTTGCATTCCTCATAAATATACAGGCAGAATAAATGCAATCCAAACTGCACAGTGGCCTCACTTGTGAACCAGTAGGTTGCCAGTAACATTTCAGAAGACTTTTTAAAATAAACATAGCTCGTTTCTCTCGGAGTTCTATTTGATGTACTCATATTATCTGCACCAACCTCTTTCACTGAAGCAGAACAGTTAACATAGTTAGGAACTTGCAGAAATCAATTATTCTGGTGAAAGCTGGATAGCAGTTTTCCTGTCTTTTTAATTGCTGCATTAAAATTGATTAACAACACTTACTGCTGAGAGAATGTGAAAAGCCCAACAGCTGTTTATTAATTTACTAAGTTAGAGAAGGCTGCAAAAGGCTGGCTCCCTTCCTGTGCCTACAGATCTCTCTCACACACTTACTTTCTTCCTGTGATTAAGATGGTTTTCTTTTACCTAAAGTGACCTCACTGGCTTTGTGCAGAGGAAAACACTGACACAAGAGTCCTGCTGCACTTGTGCAGTGTGCCACCTTGACAGCCCCAGGGCAAGACTGCAGAGGACCAGAACTGTGTTATAGGTGTTTCCAGGCAATGGCCACGACAGAGCTATGTGCTCCTGCAATATAAAAGGTGTTTCTACATCAAAAGTACTTTGGAGATACTTCCTCTATCCAATGGACCAGTTTGCTATCCATATCCTTAAAGCAGCAACCATAAGCAACTCCCTCAAAGATCTGTTTATGCTTTCATTTTCTCTTAAACACAAGCTAATACACTTGACATTTCTGACCCTATTTCTGTGACCACTGTAATGTGTTACTGTAGCTAAAAACATCAGATGGTTGTGGACTGAGCACAATAAACTACATCACAAGATTTCCTGTACCCATCTTACTTACATGCCTACATACACATGTGTATATAAATATGTGTGTGTATCTACACACGTGTACATTCTCTTTATATATGAAGAGAAGCAAGTGGAAGCTACTGAGGAAAGAGAGGTTACTTAGCTTTTACTTTTCATTCTGTGTTAACCACCTTTAAATTCTCCAATATTCTGCAAATCTGGCAGTGTTCAAGGCCAGACTGGACGGAGCTTGAAGCAACCTGCTCTAGTGGAAGGTGTCCCTGCCTGTGGCAGGGGGTTGGAGCTGGATGAGCATTAAGGTCCCTCCCAACCCAAACCGGTCTGGGATTCCATGATTCTATGAAATCTCAGTTCCACTACTAATGTTTCACTGTCCTGGAAGCTGTGCTCACTACAAACAAAGTGCAGCAGGATATGTCTTCTTTGCCCACCCCACTGGGAATAACCACAGTCCCATACATTGACTTACCTTCCACTAACTGAAGCTGTTTTTTCAGCTGCTCATACTCCTGCACATTTTAAAAACCAAACCAAAATGCCAAGACTTTTGACATAAGGCAAAGTGAAATTCTGTCTACACCTTAATGCCAGTAACTGAGAATCCAGCTGTGAGAGCTGTGCTGGAAACTATCACACCATTCACCTTCAGCACATTGTAATACAGTTAACAGAAACCTCTGACTGGTGCATGGATTTCTTCTTAACATGAATGAGGTCAGAGAACCGAAGATAGTTCTTGTGTCACTAGATTACTAATATTCATGATACTTCCCCTCATCCTGTGCCATAACTCATACTCCATGAGTAGAAAATCCTGCAGCCAACTGCCCAGCCCCAGAGGCCGCAGCACATGGAAACCCTGCTCACTCCACATGTCAGGCTGCGACAGATTCCCTTTGGAACGTGGAAATGGCTCAAACCTTTCTTGAGTTACCAATAAGGCATCTCCATGTATAATTTTCAAGGGATTCAGCCAGTTTAAATCTGATATTTCCAGTATTCTAAAACAGGTCAGGCTGGAACGGGCAGTTTTTCTGCAGGACTGTGCACCATGTGGGTGGCCAGAATGTAAGTCAACTGTTTCTCTGACACACACTATTTATTTTCCAATTAAAGAAAAGCTGTCTGGAGCCTAAATACAGGACTTGTGCACAGTTGTTTATCTGGACAGTGAACTTAAGGCATGAGGTTTATATGAGCTATTTACTTTATAGGATAAACCCAGAGTTACCTATTTATTTTCCTGCATTAATGAGCTGCTTTCTTATATCTTTTATGAACACCATCTATCTATACATGAACTGCTGTCTCCTAGGGAGGAAGCTATGAATTGTAAAGCAGTCTCAAGTTGTTGGGGTTTTTCTCTCCTTCTAGCTCTTTGGCAATGCCTCTGATAACATGACTCCTTTGGAGCTTACAGAGTCCTCAGATCACACTTCAGTGTTAAGAAAACACATCAATGATTACATATTTTGGTTTTGAACATCACTTGTGTGTTTCCAAAATAAAGAAAAAAGACTGCTATTTCTCTCAGCTAGAAATAGGAAGGGACAGTGAAGAGAACTGTTATATACAAGCTATATAATTACTAAAAGTAACTTTTACAACTATGGATTGCAATATACATTAACAACAGCGTAAGGGGAAAAGGAGAAAGAGTTTTCTCTCTCGTAAGACAAAGTTTATACAGCTCAAAAGATAAGGTACTTACTCAACAAAACAATAATCTCTGTTAGGAGAAGGCACGTTTGAGGAAGATAAAAGGACTCCTCTGGCTGGTTCTTTTTAATAAACACAGCCCTGAGCGAAGGGACACACAGGCTGGGACTATCAGACCTCCCTGTGGTAAAAGGATATTAATGGGCAGATTAATCCTGCTCCAAACATACAACCCAAGAAGTCAGTGAGAGTGGGCCTGGCCTGGAGCTGTGATTACCCACCTGCCTTACACCAGAACTCAGGTTGTTTCCTGCATATCTTGTCTACTGCCTTGCTGGCTACTGCAGAGGATGTTTCCTTGCGCTTCCCATTCCACTCAGATTTCCTAACGGAAAACCTGAAAGATTCATCAGCCCAGTAGTGTCCATTTATGGTGAATGATTCCCTCGTTTTATTTTCACCTGTGTGCTGCCTTAGGTCTGTAGTGATCATTTACAGAAAGCAACGAGACGTAATGACAGCAAATCTTCAACATCTGCTCTCGCTGGAAGGATACGAGAGGCAAGTTTTACCAGGAGAGTGGATGACTTGGAGCATGACAGGAAAAATGGACAAACCTTTTGATAAATGGTCACTTGCACTGACCCCTCTCCCTCCTCAGTGCATCTGTTGGTCTCCTAAAATTATCTTTAAAGACAACAACCTGCAAACTCCACAAAATCCCATAGGAGCAGACCTTCCCTGTTGCAATCTCTCCACATCTCACGCAATCCTTCGTCCATTTTCAACTTCTGGTGACCCTGTTGATTCCTTCTATTTATAATTCCTTCATTCAAACTCACATAAAGCCTCGGGAGCGTGTTAATATACATCTCTGCAAAGTTACATCAATTTTGTCCATTCATGTCAAAACAAAGTCACTGAAAGCATTATGTTGCAAATTTAAATAGACACAGTTAATGACAAACAGAACAAGAGACAGGCAGAGGCATAAACATCTTCCAGTATGCCACAAATGAAACCATTAAAGTAGGAAGCAACCCTCCATCAGTCAGAGGGATTTTCAGTATCAGGATGCTGCTTTTACCTCCCCACTGCAGCATTACACTCCATGACTCTGTTTGAAGACACCGTACCATGAAAGACAGCAGCATCATCCCTCTTTGCACATACACGTAACAATGTTGCTCAAGAGAATTTTAATACCAGAATCCAACATGCAAAATAAGCTGATTATTACTGTACATACAAAATATCCCCTTATTACATAGAACAAACAACTGCCCATGTCTCGTTCCTCTGGAACAGGTAACTGCACTGGTAGTGACCCAGCAGTGTAACCAATAACCGTAACAGCAGCGACAAAACTCATGTTGCAAAAGCACATCTGCCTGAATGGAAGCATTCACTACACTCCAAAACAAAGCCTCTATTTTACCCCATGTCGTTTTAGGATGCTTTACACCTGGATTTAACTGGAGCTTTCAAATTTCATCTCTCTCATCTCTCTTTTAACTGGCTTTCATGTTGTCATTCTTTCATCCACAGTTAAGGTGCATGTAATAATTTTCCCTTTATTTATGTTTCTTTGTTTTTATCTGTCCCCACTTTGCTCCCTCATATACTGCCTTTCAAATACCTTAGAGCAGTTAAAATGCTACAAAACTTAATAGTTGCTTTCGTGAGTGAGCTGAAGGATCCCAGTCGAACTACAAGGTTTAGAGATGCTGCTCTTCGAGAAAGAGAAGAGAAACTAAATGATTATTTTAAATGGTTCATGAGCTAGGAAAAAGGGTGCACAAAATACTTGCTCAAAGCTTTCAAGTTGCCACTGGTGGATTGGGTTGTCATAGAGAAACTGCACGGGCTGGCTCTGTACTAGGACTGTTTCCATGCCACTAATTAGCCGATGCCTATTTTGTCCTTTCCCCTCCTTTTCTGTTCACTACTTAAACGCCGTTTTTAGCCATCGGAAATGACACAAAATGTTAATGCTGAAGTTCTCCTTTTAGCTGAAGTTTGGTGGAGAATAAAAGAGCAGACAAGACAGCTCAGAAACCCTCCGGGCATATGCAGCATCCCAAAAACATTTGGTTTCCATCTTCAGCTGCAAATTATAGACAAGACGGATGTGTTTTAAACAAAAAAAGGTCTGTTCAACTTCATTCTTGCAGAAATGCTAATACTGAACCACTGTCAACTGTGTGAATCAAGAAGGGAACAGCCAGGAAACAGAATTTCCCTAAGAATACCGAGATCCTGGTAATTAATTCATAAAAAACCCAAGTAGTTGAATAATTTTTTTCTTGTGTTGCTGTTTAGCAAAAATACTGAGCCTTGGACCATTGCCTGAGCTCTTTGGAGACAAAGAATCATTTTAATATTCACCATACAGATGTCTGCAGGAGAACAGAGGATATTGCTTAGGTGTCCCTTTTCCCTTTTAACAGGGCCATAATTCAGATTCCGACTGTTTCCCAAACAAACTGAAGCAGTAATTTGTTAGTAAGTATGAACATACACAGACTGCTGCTTCCTGGAATGGCCAGAATGGGTTTTTTCTAAGAAACAATGCTGTTCAGCATGCAACATAGTTACACTTTCCAAACGTCCCACAAAACCCTGGTCAGGGTAAGAAACAACTGCCTTGTTTAGCAGGTTCTAAAAATACCAGAGACATCCTTTCTGGGAAAGATGTTTTCTTACATGCCCTAAGCTTGACAGTTCAAACAAATGAGTTCTCTTCCTGAGGATTTAGTAGAGTTTCAGAGGTTTTAGTTGTGTTTCTGTTCACAAATACAAACAATACAAGCTGTATGTAATAGGGTGTGGGTGGCTTCTTGTTTATTCTAGGAGAATGTGTCCCAAGCTCTCTACAGATACTTAGTCCCAACTGTGCTGTGACTCCACATTCCAACCAAAATCAGTCTCATGACATCTAATGACATTCCCAATCTCAATAAATGATGCAGGAATAGGGAAGCAGAGCACAGGTGAAGTTCTCAAGAGTCAAACCTGACAAAGGATAAATCCAACTGAAATTAAATTTAGACAGTTAAATTATACAGCTCACTTAAATTATGCAGCTTATTCTGGCAATTTTACCTGCATTTCAAAGGGCTTTAGACCTTTTAAGATCACACTGTTTTACACAACTGGACCTTCAGAGGAGAAAATGGTAATTGCATTGATGTAATACATCATGTTTTGTCTTAAGGGGCTTTTGGAATTGTAATTTAAAGGTGTCTATTTCACGTAATTGATGAATTCATATCCCAGGGCCTCTGTTTACAAGACAACACTAGATTCTACTTGTAAATTCAAAATGATACTGAATCTCCAGTGTTCTCATAATTAACAATATATGAAAGCTTAGATCTTGTTAAGGTAGTCTTTAAAGGGTGAGACAGGAAATGTGTTTTATTGTTTTTAGGGCTGGAAAGGACAAAGCAACAACTATTTACAACCTTTGTTCATGTGGGATTTTCGTGTCCTTGGCAAGAGCTGAAAATTAGTCACAAAATACCTGAAGGATTTTTGAGAAGTACAACATGGAGTTTAACTACCTGCCTTTTACTGGTATTAATTTAGAAGAGAATGAAAACTCCCCCAAATTACTTATTTTAGGAATTTGTTTCCTGAAACTCCAGCTCTGTAACCCCTTGATGAGCACTTGGAGAAGTGACATGTTTTAACTATTTCTACAGCCTTTTGCCAATGACTTACTATGAAACATTAGGATATCAGTTAAGCTTCAGTTTTGACTGAGATGGATAGACTAAGGATCACGTTTGGAAAAGCTAGGAAGCTCCAATGGCAATCATAAAGAACCTGAAAAACCACTTAAAACTAGTCCTTTAATCAGTACAGATAGCACCAATTTCATTGCAAGTTAGCTCTCTAAAAGTTAGGCCTCTCTCCCACTTAGGATGATCCAAGTAACTTTCTGAAGCTATTTATCTTCATTACTTACTGAGAAAACCTCTGAATACTTCAGATAACATGTCGGACAGTGGATGCAGTTTGATCACTCTGTGTAAGGGGTGGAGGATCAGGCTGTGACTGCATTTCAGCAGCAGTTTTCTGCAGTACATTTGCAAAATGAGTCATACTTGGCATGTGCAGTTGTCTCTGGCGTGTAAGCTTGCTCAATGTGCCTGCTATAGTATCCAGGAATGAATGGGTTAGTGCTCAATGAACTATTCCAATATCAAGCTAAGGCATACTGGAATATGTGCACTTGTAACCTTGACAGAAGCAAAATAGTATCATGGCCTGCAACACTGCCAAAGCAAACGTTATGTAAAGGTCAGCTGGAAAGCACGTCAAGATCCAGTTAATTGGAACCACACTGTCAGTGCTAGCACACCCGGAGCGACGGCTGCTCCTCACTGAAGGAGAGGTAAGATAAGGTTCTTTGGCAGAAAAATGGCAAAACCATATCAGTATTATTTTTCTCTTGCCCTTTTTATCATCTCTGCAGTGACATCTTCAAATTATCAGTGTGTTTGCTGAACAGGATGTAAAGTCCTGAATGAGTCACCTATAAAAGTAGGTGGTAAATGTTACCCAAAGCTAGAGAGGTGTTGTCTCTTAGCATCAATCTCCATTCTGGCTTGGCACAAAAAAGCTATGAAACAAACCAACCCCCCAAAACCCCAACACCTCAGACAGTGAGGCACTGCTACAAAACCAACGCAATCGATTATTTCAAGTTGCCATCTTTTCCCCTGGAACTTCATTTTCCAATTCTCATCATTTTGCACACAGAAAAGTGCAATGGCTGGTAGGAAGTTAGTGGAATTCCCAAAGTGCTCTGCAAAATAGTTGTGAGAGGGAACATTTTCACAACCCCACCCCAAAGTCCAGGCCCGCTGCACTGCACGACCAAGGTAAGTCACTACATTTAATGGACTGCTCTGTCCTCTTTGAATGATGTAACTGATGGGAGACACCCAGCACTGAACCTTCTTTGTTCATGCCACGTGATGGCAATGAAAGAGGGGTGGCACTGCAGTATCGAGCAGGAAATTCAGATTCAATTCTGGTGTTGTCTATTTACTGTATGAGTGTCCCCAAGTCTATTCAGTCATTTCAACTGTGGGTTTACAAACCACCTTATTTTTTTTCATATGTGTGTGGTCTGAGGGCCACAACATTAATCAGGTTTATATATATATATATATATTTGTCATTTTGTCTTCCCATCCATATTTTTGAGAAAACACAACACAGTCAGTAATAAAATGAATGTTATGGGGCTCTTTATAAGAAACAGCCATTTGACATTAGCCCTAAAGCATTTATCTAACAAAAAGTTATTAACAGAGAAAAAAAAAGTGCTATAAAAGGCATTTAAACTCTCAGACAAACCTCTCCTGAGAAATATCTGCTATTGCCAAATACAAGTAACCTCCACATTTTCAAGTGATTGTAAACCGAGCTAGATAGTCACATACAATAGTTTCTACTTGCCTGTTCACCCCACCCCTATTTTTAAACAATCAAGGTTTTCAAAAGGGGGTTACAGTTCTACTCCTCCTCGTAATGCAAACCAGGATGATGAGCACCCAATAGGGACCTGTCCAGTCTCCACTTTAGGAGCTGGGCAAGTATTATACATGTATGAGTAATCCTGGATAAGGTAGTTTGGTATTGTACCATTCAAATAGAGAGTTACTCTATTCACCTTGGGAAGCTGGCTACTACATGGTTAGTTACACAGCAACAGGCCATAAACAGTTAGTGTGTCTAATCTACTACTGTGTTCAGCCACCAGCCAGCAGGAACATGGGTACATGTGTTGCACTACACACATACCATGCTCTCTAAAAAAAAGTAATACAGCATTTTAAAATACATTATGCAGAATAATAGTAATTTCCCAATTTATATTACTCATCAGGTAGCAGTCTGGGGACAAAATCTCTTGTGAGAATTCCCCTACGTTATGTTAGCAGCAGCAAGGAGGCGTATGAAAGAGGAGGAAGAGGGTTGTACAGATGTACCCACTCTTCCTAGCTCACCTTTTTCCGATTAGCTGGTGACAAGCTTCTGTAGAGCTTCTTGCCTTGCTTGCCAGCATTCCAAATGGTGAACGATGCCCAGGAGCTGAGGACTCTGTCTTCAAGAAACCTGACTCGGTGATTCCAGATGGTTCCCCTGGAGGGTTAGAAAAGGAGTAGATTTTGATCCCTAAAACTTTTAGCATTATTATATACCTATATGCATATGGACACATACACAATAGACACATTTAATATTCATTAACTAGGAACCTACCTCATCCTTGAACAGTTTTCTAGACACAACAAATTGATTTCCTCAATTTATGGCTTGATGGGCAAATATTCCTAATCCATATCTCTTGAACAAGGTACCCTGACTTGAGAATGTCTTTCATAGGTGGTTCTGACCTAACTGTCTTTCCCTTCTGAAAGCATTTCTTCAAATGGCTTTTCCCATTTGCTTTATCATGACAGAACACAACACACTTTATGAATCGTTACAACTTGTTCTACAATTTGTAATACATCATCTGAGCCAAGAAATTAGATGTTGAAATTAGTTAAAGCAGCAACAGAAAAAAAACACCCCTACTCATTTTCCTGGGAGATCCTAAAGCTGCCAATGGTTTTCTTTTGTCTTGGGAAGCACGTGGGTTTTTCCTACCAATACACCTTCTTCACAGTTCAACTTTGAGCCCCACAGTCCTCTGACTATATCAAGTTAGAAAGGAATTTAAACACCAAGATACTCAAAGAATATGTTGTTTTTTTCTGTTTCAAGTACCACTTCTGACTCATTATTATTCCAAATTATCCCTATGACATATACCTGAGGTACAAACCTAACATTTGAGTGACTGAGATTAATAGGTAACCTAATTTGTTCCCAGAAGTTTGTTAGCAAACCTAATACTTCAGTGATAAGAATTTTGTGGTTTTATTTGCCTTGGTCCTTCACAGCCCTGAGCTCTCATTTGAGGAACATGCACCCCTCACAGTACTACACATATGGATTCGTGCTGGGCTTATTAGTGAGCTCCAGAGAGGCCACTTCAGCGTGCGAGTTCTGAGCACAGCCAAATCCCGCTTAGCACTTCATCACTGATCGTGGTGCGATAACTTGGAAAGAACTTCACACGCAAATGGATGTACCCAGGAAGAACAGCTACTCCCTATAAAATGTCCACACCGTTTCGAGGCCTATGGCCATGCACCAGCACTTCGACTAGTGCAGAAAGATCTTGGATTGGATTGCAAATCCCTCCTAATGCAACCACAAGCTGCATTCCT